CGATGGGCTGAATTGCACAGAACGCATGATCGCACCGGCTAGTCTGGTGCGCGTTGCTATTTATTGTTTTCTGCTGGTTATGAATGTTGTCAACCACAGCACTGGAGCGAAAGATAACAGATGCGGAGAAAAAACCCTCAAAAAAGCTGATCTGCTTGTGTCTGTTTCCCGTACTAGGGTATATAAGTAAATGTTGAGTGCATGTGGTGGCCATTGTTGGGAGAGGAGGAGAGGGGGGGGGGCTTAAAAGGAGGCTTTTATTTGGTATTAAGCGACCTAACAACAAGTGGTGGAACTATCGAAATGGGGAACAAGAAGAGTTCTGCCAAAACCCCCTGAGGTCACTTGTTGAGTGAGAGGACGTTGACGAGAAGAATCGAGTCAAAGGAGTGACGATGTTAGAAAAAAGCGTAGTTCCAGTCGTATACAAAACCAGGACCTAGGGTGATGAAAACAGGGATTCAGCTCGGAAAAGAAGGAATAAACATTCCTTGTTCCTCCTCTCAGGTGATGAAAACCCCAAAAGGCGCCAGAAAGGCGAATTAGAAAAAGTTGTTGACTGAGAAAAGGAAGGGAAAGAATTAGTAGATTAGTAGAGGGGAGGGGAAGGGACTGGGTGACTGTAAAGAGTCATGAAAAAGAGGGAACGGGGGTGGTATAAAAATATAATATATTTATACCTATTTATATATAGACGAAGGTAGCTTGAAGCTACAGATAGAGACCATTGCTCCGTGCTCGTGATATAACTAGAGGAAGGGAAGATGGATTGAGATAGTTAACTTCAGTTAGGTGGTGTGGGCAGATGGACGTGACCTGCTTGTGTGTAGCTTTGAGATGGCTTAGTCTGGCAGATGGACATATTGTAAGCTTTTATTTGGTATTAAGCGACCTAACAACAAATGGTGGGACTGTCGAAATGGGGAACAAGAAGAGTTCTGCCAAAACCCCCTGAGGTCACTTGTTGAGTGAGAGGACGTTGACGAGAAGAATCGAGTCGAAGGATTGACGATGTAAGAAGAACGCGCAGTTCCAGTCGTATACAAAACCAGGACCTAAAGTGAAGAAAACGGGGATTCAGCCCGGAAGAGAAAGAGTGTGTGCTCCTCCTTTCCGGTGATGAAGACCCCAAAAGGCGCCAGAAGGCGAATTAGAAAAAGTTGTTGATTGAGAAAAGGAAAGGAAAGAATTTTGTAGATCAGTAGAGAGGGAGAAGGGACTGGGTGACTGTAAAGAGTCATGAAAAACAAGAAACGGATGTAGTATAAAAACTATATAATATATTTATACCTATTTATATATAGACGAAGGTAGCTTGAAGGTATAGGTAGAGACCATTGCTCCGTGCTCATGATATAACTAGGGGAAGAGAAGATGGATTGAGATAGTTAATCACTACAAAAGGCAATACGGGCCTCAAGGGCCCTGTGAGGAAAAGAAGGGGCCGGATCAGCGGCCCAGTAGTTAAGTTTAGTTAGGTGATGTGGACAGATGGACGTGACCTGCTTGTGTGTAGCTATTATGATGGCTTGGTCTGGCACTGGTGTTATTGTCATTTTAGCGGCGATGAATGAGACAGTTGATATAAATGTACTGAAAACGACGAACCAGCAGCAGCAACAGCAACAGCAGCAGCAGCAGCAAAAGAGCTCAACGGTGCAGGAGATCGAACGACTGCAAAAAAATCGTGAAGAACGACGCGCGCAACAGGTTACTACTACAGAGTTATGTTATTCCGTGCTGCCGGGTTGTGCAGTTCTTGTTTTTGCCCTAAAAGAAAGAATTGTTGTTTTTGTAGACAATTCCTCAGTGGATAATCAATAAAAACTTTCAGCAAGAAGCAAGAAGACAAAAGGAGCAGTTGAAGAATATTGACCCGGGCAACCCGAACTGGCAATTTTTGACGATGATCCGCGACTACCAGTCGCAGATCGATTTTCGCCCTCTGAAAATGACTGATCAGGTAGAAGAACATTGTGCTTATCACCTTCCAGCGCGGTTCAGTTCATCACTGCTGTTGGTGAAAGACCTACATTTGCACATACACACTATCAGGCGATACTGGGAGGAGTACTGGATTCGAAATTCATAAAATTATTTCATAAAATTTTTTTATTTTTATTTATTTCATTTCAAATTATTTCATAAAAAACTTCATAAATTCATAAAATTATTAAATCACAGTTTTCGTTGAATCCCCGTACTAGATTTCTGTTTTTTTTTTTGTCCAGAGATGTTTTCGGCGATTGCGATTGGTGTCATTTCCCTGCTACTCGATATCCGTCATTCGTCTTCAGGATGCAGTGCATGCAGGCATTTTTATGTCTTATCATATTGCATATGTCAGTATTCTGTTGGTGTCGGCAAAAACTCTGATTTTTGGAGTGATTAGCAGTAAAAATTTCCCGGCTCACAGTCTTTACTGTGCTATTTTAGGAGGAGGCGTCTTGTAAACTGATGAAGGCTACTCGTCCTTTTTTATGCGCTTTTTGCAGCTATGCAAAGCAAAGACGCATGTTGACGAGGGGTTGTCTGTGTGTGTATGTGTGTGCGTGTGTGTATGTGTGTCTGTCACGGTTTTTCATTCCTATAAAATCTACAGGGCTGAAAGTTTGGGAAGTTAATCTACATTTGCGTACGGGCCCCAATCTTCAAAATGGGCACCATTACCCACGTGGTATCCACGTAAGAGCCCGCCAAAGTTTTTTGCGGGTAAGCTGCTAACTCGAGAACCAGAAATGCTTGGGGGCTGAAATTTTAAGGGGATGTCCCCTGTCCAAGTAGATATTAATGAGCTCAAACCCAGCCCTCGGGTATGCGTGGTACCCACGTACGGGCTCACCAAAATTTCTCTCGGGTAATTCGCTAACTTGAGAACCTGAAAAGCTAGAAGACTGAAATTTTAAGAGGATGTTCCTCATCCACATAAGTCTCAACGAGCTCAAACCCAGTCCTCGGGTATGCGTGGTACCCACGTATGGCTCGCCAAGGTTTTTTTCGGGTTAGTTGCGAACTCAGGGAACTAGAAAGTTAGAAAGCTGAGGTTTTAAGGGGGTGTTCCCTGACAGTTCTGGTGGCCAGTCTTAATTTGTTTAGCTAGAAGCATTTGCCAAAAATATCGGTGCGGTAGCGACAAAAACTATATCTTCGCACCGGGCAACCCGTGCATGGGCTAATTATTTTCTTTCACCAATCCCTACACTTTTTTCGTTCATCTGTATTGTTTGTCCCAAAGAGGTGTAGTTTTTTGAGGAACTCAAAGGCTGATTTTTATAGCCTCATTCAGGCCGGGCAATATTGTCAGGAAATACCCCCATAAAATCTCAGCTTCTTCATCCACCTGGTTTTTTTCCTCGTCGTTTTTAAGTCTAGTTTTCTTTGCATTGGTTGCAAATTTGGATTCTGAAATGTGATTTTTTGTGATGAACGCATTATTACCTGCGAAAATAATTATTTGTTGTGTTTGATTGTCGATTCAACAAAAAATTGCATGAAGTTATTTTTGGATTTTCCGTGATTGTGAGGCTTGTGCAAATGAAGATTTTTGCAGGTAAGCGACCATCGAATATGCGTATGTGTTCGGAAGAGGCCTCTGAACAGGAAAGAAATAATGAAAAAAGAGATTGAGGTAAGTATTCTACGAACTGATCAGCCTCATTTTTGAGGGTAATTTGACGCGGGGTCGCTTTTCTGTGGTTCCTTGATTGCCTCATTTTGCAGGTGATCACGATCCCGAATCGAGACCATCTGATTGTCCATCAGCCACAGGTGAAAGTCGACTTAACAAAGTATCTTGACAACCAGAAGTTCCGATTTGATTACACATTCGACGAGAATACCAGCAATGAGATGGTTTACAAGTGTGCCTTCCATTTTATGCGTTTTATGCTGTGTAACAGCAGTACAAAACGCATATTGTCTCGGGGTTGTCTATGTGTGTATTTGTGTGTGTGTGTGTGTGTATGTGTGTGTGCCCGCAGCAACTTGTCCGCAACGCTCAACTCGAGAACCACAAAAGCTAGGAAGCTGAAAATTTAGGTGAACGTTCCCCACCCACGTGTCACCCCGCAAATTTAAATTCAGCTTCCCCGTACCCGCGGGTAACGCGTACGGCCCTGTGAAAGTTTT